AAGGGAAGAACACCCCCACATGATTAGGGTATTACCTCCACCGACCAGGGCCCAACCAGTATAATTTCTTGTTTTTTTCGAAAAGGGGGTTTACCCCAGCCTCTGCATCAGAAAGATGCATACGGCTCATATTATTACAAATAAAATCCAGTAACAAAGTCTCCAAGTATCGAGGTGCGATAAAAAGTAAAAGCTCGAAAGAGCTAAAATCCTAAGCCACAACCGGCTGGCAAACACAATAGGAGCACTACATGCCTATCCTATTACATGACCGCCATCCAAACCGGTTGAAAATATCCCGCGCTACCATCTCCCATCGGGTAGACGCAGTAACCAAACGCTCCCTGGCCTCCGTCGGAGTGAGTAGCGACCACATACGGATGAATGCCGTGGCCATGAAGATAACCTGCAAAAAGTGAATGTTTGTTGATCTGTTAAATACTAAATCATTTCTGCAGTTCCATACTGCCCAATGTAAAGCACAAACGCCAACACGAATGTGTCTTGCAGTATCGGAATCAACCCATCAAGCCATGGTCCAAATAACATGTTGATAGAGGTGGGCTGATTAATATTAAACGCAATATGAATCGACCGCCACAGAATCTTAGCCAACGGACAATTGAGGAAGAGGTGTTTGATGTTTTCGTTATTATCGCAAAAGCTACACCTAGATGAGCCCATCCAGTTGCGTTTTGCTAGGTTATCCTTAGTCAAAATGACTTGTTTATGCACAAACCACATAAACACTTTGATGCATAAGGGAACCTTTACTCTCCAAACGTGAATCGAGGAAGGGACAACGCTAGAGTTAATGACATCCAGATACATAGACTTAACCGAGAACGCACCGTTCTTAGTAAGTTTCCAATGCAGCTGATCTGGTTGCTGGGTCAGCCGAACCTCCATTAAACGTCTAACAAGGTGGAGCCAAGCCTCCCAACGATTTCCGACTAGCGTCCTCCGAAAACTAATATTGAGGGGAGTGGATTGTAGAACAGATGCAACGTAGGCTTCTCTACGTCGCACAATATTGTACAAAGTAGGATATTGAAGTGCAAGGGGAGTCTCCCCAAGCCACGTATCCTCCCAAAATCTCGTAGTGGCTCCATTCCCGACAATAAATTTTGACTTGTTGAAAAAAAGCTGTTTGACTCTCATCAAACCCTTCCAAAAAGGTGAGTCGGAAGGCCTCACATTTACCTGGGCCAGGGTTTTAGCATAAAGATACTTATTACGCAAAATCTGAGCCCAAGTAGCTTCCGTCTCGGACGGAAGTTTAAAAAGCCATTTGCTAAGGAGACATATGTTTTTAACTTCCAAATTTTCAATGCCTAGACCCCCTTGGTCCTTCAGCCTACATATTATATCCCACTTAGCAAGCCTATACTTTCGTTTGAGGTCGTCAATCTGCCAAAAGAACCGAGATCGGTAGAAATCTAACCTTTTCCTAACTCCCGCCGGAACCTGGAAAAAGGATAAGAGAAACATAGGCATACTGGTAAAGACCGAATTAATCAGAATCAATCGTCCTCCGTATGATATGAGCTTTCCTTTCCAACAATTCAGTTTCTTTTCAAAGCGATCCTCGATGCATTCCACTCATTGTTAGTCAGCTTACGATGATGAATGGGTATACCTAAGTACGTAAACGGTAAGGAACCCAATTCACATCCGAACAATTGTTTATACGTGTCCTGGTCCTCCTTTGCTCTTCCAAAGCAAAACAATTCGCTCTTGTAAAAGTTAATTTTGAGACCAGATAGTTGTTCAAATAAGCATAACAGCAGCTTCATGTTTCTTGCTTCATGTATCATCAGTATAATTCCTTGTGCATACTTCCATTAGCATTGCTCGATAGATACAATGGTCGCTACATACATAACCCCGTAATATTGTTAAGACTATATACTCGACAGTTGACACCCACCGTCGGGCAAACATCTATCAACATGACGGTGCAGATGTTGTAATCTTTGGTGTGCGTCTGCAACATTCATTTGAGTAGTCTCGAATTCGCCATCGACGGTTCGTCATGGGATCCTGATGTCCTGTTTTAAAAAGCTGGCATGCCATTGCGTGGGAGCCGCCACTACCAGGGAAATCGCTTGTTCATCCAGTGTCTTCATGTTTCGTCTTCGCACCAGCCGACTTGGCTGGCGCCTCGTCGTCCCTGGAAGCGCTCAAGCAAGCCTTGCCCTCCGTTTTTTCGTGTCGTGGGCAGGATGGAGACCGACTCACTATACCTTGTTTTGTGGTCATGCTACAAGGAGGATAATTGCAGGACAAAGGC